GTGTGTGAATATATACTCTTTTGTTTTTTGTTATAGCCTGTGGTCAAATTGAGAATAGATTAATATTATTTGTCTGTAGTCTTACTGAATGTTAAACTAATTATGGTCAAATTTAGACCACTGTTAAAGATAATTTTCAGAGATTTTTTTCATAACTTTTATTGATATATTAATAGAAGGATATAGTGACTAATTAGCCAGTTAAATGCACAAGGTTACAAGATCGTTGTCTACAGTGTAATGAAGCAATTAGTATGTGCATTGAGTGAGGCAGAGTGTCGGCGAGGTCTGGGCCGTAGGTCGGCCTTTGGGATGCATCATGCATGCATGCATTTTTTTGATAACATAGGGGACAAACGAGCATGCGGCTCACCTGATGGTAAGTGATCACCGTCGCCCATGAGCACCCGCAACACCAGGGGAATTGCAAGTACGTTGTCGGCCTTTTAAAAAGGAATAACCTCTTTTCTTAATGGTTTCTATATCGTATCGGTTCGGGAATACCATTGCTGGAAGGTGAGTCCACACACAATGTGATTAAAAGTTAAAACGCGTTGGATAAAATAATCTTTATCATATACATTTATAACTATATCAAATATTTTTATATACAGTTAGGACCTGGCGTTTAAATATGTAATGATTTTATTGACAGCCTTGGTGATCTAGTGGTATAAAATACAGTTCTACTTCCGATAGTCTCAGGTTAGATTCCTCGCACTGTACAAACATTTGTATTATAATTTTTCCGTTTATTGATAATAAGATTTAAATCAGAAATTCACTGCAATTCACTACGATATACGTCAATTTGTGTCTTGGCTAGTTTAGATTGTGAAATAACTGAATTACTGGAGTTGGTTTCGCCAAATAAGAGAGGACAACCGGCGCCGCCTGCGGACTCATGAATTATGGAGAACTTGAATGCAAGTCGGCTTCTGCAACGCACCGCCATGTGGGGAATGTCAACAACGAGGCACAACTAAACGAAATAATAATAATAATAATCTCAAGACAATTTACACAGCGCCATCTAGTCCCAAGTTAAGCTAGCTAAAACTTGTGTTATAGGTATTAGATAACTGACACAAATACATAGATATTGTTCTTCGTAAATACTTACATATTATATTTTCATATTTCATATTTCGTTTATGACCAATGTAAAAAACTTCTTTACATATATGGCAAGTCATAAGATACAGTAATTCATATTTATACAAATTCAATTCAATTACAATTACATTAATAAATAAAATTACATTAATTAACAAAATTACATTTTTAAATAAAATTATATTAATCAATAAAATTACATTTATTATTAACTAATAACATAATATGTTCCGTAGTCACAATTACGACATAATTATATTTAGGTCTAAATACTCGCTAATATTATAAAAAGGATGTTTTTCAAAAAATGATCTTATTTCAGTTTTGAGTTGTTTTAGGAATTCTCTTATTTGCACAGTTAGTTTATTATACATTTTGATTTTTATACTAGTGCCTTGTTTAAAAGTTTTACCAAGTCTTGTTTTAGGTAACTGTATATTGCCTTTATTACGCGTATGGTATACATAGAAAACATCCAGACCGATACAAACAATCATACTCATGAATAGAAATATTTGTGTCGTGCGGGAATCGAATCCGCTACCATCGGATGTAGATTTATGATATTTTTCAATGCGATCTTCAACGTGTTAAACTGCATTACGTGCAGTGCACGTGATAACGGTGACGCGGCGCGCTCGTGCGCTCATCACCACCGTTAGATAACCGCCATTATCCGCTCGTTCAGTTTTATTGGCGTCATTATGTTTTTCTGTGCTTACACGCTCTGAGAACGTCGTGCCACTCGTGCCCTAGTGATACACTACCCTTTTTTTATCCTGTGGAAAAAACAAAAGACCGTTTCCCCCGCCAGTGGCATGACTAGATTTAGGGATTCTCACGCACTAAAAAACTACACGGTGGTTCTACGAGGGACATTGCCGGAGTCGCGAGGTCGCGCTGACGTTTTTCCACGACTCCGGCGGTGTTGGCCCTTCCTGTCACTATCCCTGCACTATCTGGTGTAGGGCGTCCTATCAACGAGATGGGGCCTGCCCTACACCAGATAGTGCAGGCCCCATCTCGTTGATAGGACGACCTATTTCACCCTATTCAATTATGGAAGCGGTTGGATATACCCTCTATAATATACTCCGGGGCGATTTAGTTGGAGCGCTGCCTTCCTCTAGGTGAGCACCCTGAGCCCAGTGGGGGATAGACGTGGGGCAAAGAATATTATTATTATTGTTATTTAAGTACTCCTGTTAGAGACAAATATTGCTGGTCCCTTAGTCAGTATAAAGCAAACAAAATCCTTTTACAAACTACAACAACAACCTTTGTTATCGCTTACTATAAAAAAGGAGTTGCAAATTGGCTGACTGCCAGTTCTCATTTGATGAATACGTTTATGGACGCCATGCCACTACCACAGCTTGGGTGGTCACTATAATTGCTTATTTATTTCAAAATTCTTTATTTAGGTAACACAATTTTTAATAATAATGTTACTAGAATAAATCATTTTAAAATTTTTATCGACTCCAACATTATATCTTCTAAATGTATATAACTCAAAGGTGACTGACGTAGTGATCTATCAACGCACAGTCCAAACCACTGGACGGATCGGGCTGAAATTTGGCATGCAGGTAGATGTTATGACGTAGGCATCCGCAAAGAAAGGATTTTGATTAATTCTACCCCCAAAGGGATAAAATAGGGGATGAAAGTTTGTCAATTTTAAACCGATCGGGCTGAGACTTTGCATACATAAAGCTACTATGACGTAGCCATCCGCTAAGAAAGGATTTTCATAAATTCCACCCCTAAGAGGATAAATTAACACGAGCGAAGCCGCGGGCAAAAGCTAGTCTGGGTATATGTCTATCATTTTTGTAGAACGGTTGTGTATAACCCACAATATAGTAGAATCAAATAAAACTAAATAAATTTCTTTATATACATATAGACATAAACTAAATTAAATAACGTTAATAGATTAACTTTAAAGGGAATTATAGTTGTGTTTATTTACTTATTTTAAACTAAATCTGTTGCCTAGGCCAAGGCATAACAGCTAGCATAAGTTATCTATGCTAAAAATGAGTAGTTTAACAATCAGATCTTGCTCCGAAACATATAAAAAACATTACTATTGGTGATCTAAATAACACACGTACAACTCTAGAAAATCATAAAATGTAAGATTGTATATTTAGTATTTGTGACAAGTTGGTAATATGGAATAGAATAGAATAGAATAGAAAATCATTTATTCAAATAAACTTAATTTAAGCACTTTTGAATAGTCATAATATTTTTTTTATCTACCGCTCGTTCGGAAAGCTGTCTCATCACAAGAAGAACGAGCAAGAAACTTGTGTGTTGCTCTTTTAAATGGATTGGAAATTAATTGACATCTTTAATTGATATCTTTACTTTCTTACTAATACTATAAATGCAGAAGTAAATCTGTCTGTCTATCTCCCTTTCGCGCCCAAACTACTGAACCGATTTTTTATGATATTTACTGAACCGAGTTATTTAGTACACAGATAGTCCAGATCCAGAGAAACGGCATAGGCTACTTTCTAATGCAACCCCTACCAACCCATTGTTGTTAGGGGTTGTAAGGGAAGATGAAAGTTCGCATTACATTAAATATAAATAAATAAGACATTCGAAGTTTGTAAAAATGTTACCCTTACGGGGTAAATTAAAATAAGGATCAAAGTTTGTATCGTGTATATATTGTATGTATGGAGTATCGTCATTTTTTAAGCTAGAACGGTGAAACATTTTTCTTTGGTTTAGATTATTGAATATTGTTTCTTTATTTTGGTCTAGGTCGTAATAACACGAGGACGAAGTCGCAGGCACTGCTAGTTATCTATAAATCTACAGAGTAGAACATGTGACAGTGTTCCAAAGATACTAACAGCGTTAGTCAATTGTATTGTCTCCTAATGCTCATATATCATTAAAATAGAAACTAAATACAATCACGCACACAACAAACGGCAAGATTTAGCAATGATCAGTACAATAATTACTTCCTAAACAGGACTTGTGAACTTTCACGACACGACGCTCGCTCGGCGCCGGCCGGGATTGAACCCGGGTCGCTCCGGTGACCCTGCGGCCTAGTGAGACGGCGCCGGCCGCGATCCGCCCTTTCTACATTTAATCATACAATGAAATGAACATTAATATCGCGGTATTGCAGACTTAAGTAGTTTGAACTGTAGCGAGCAACTAATGAACTACGTATATACATACTTATAAACAGTGAGAAAATACGAAATTTCATGTATTTTTCATAATCTTATATCTATTTCCCCTTTTTACAAAAAATACGTGGACGAAGGGTTTCACTTCGCACACTTATACTTTATAAAGAAAAGGAGTGCAAATTATGGATAAAAAGTAAATTGAATTAGTGCTAATTGATAGTTTGCATTCACACACTTAAACTTAGAAATGTAAAGTAACAATAAAATTATTTAAAAGAGCAACACACCAGTTTCATGCTCGTTCTTCTTGTGATGAGACAGCTTTCCGAATGAGCAGTAGATTAAAAAAATACGTATGACTATTCAAAAGTGCTTCAATGTAAGTTTATTTGAATAAATGTTTTTCTATTCTATTCTTTCTATTGAATCAATATGATAATGGAATGGTACACCTGTGCTGTCGGTTCACGCTGGCGAGGCACCTATAGAGAGTGATAAGGTGAGATGAGCAAATTCACCAGGAATTTAACGGAATGGTTTCCAGGGGGAACGGTGTGAAGACCTAACATGACACATTGCTGGCAATATATCATCAGGGTTCCTAATCTACTTCTAATACCTTAACCCTTAAAATAGAGGATTTTAAGAGTAATTAATCATGTTGGTAAGCTAGCTTAATTCGAGTTTAAAAACTGTTTATTGTTGCAGGCATCACGTACTTGACTGGTGAAAACTTCTTGGACGTGCTGGACAATGGTGCGGAGCTGTGTCAGCTGGCTGCCGTCATACATGATAAAGCTCGAGATGCCCTCGACCAAGGGCTCATTGTTGGGGTAAGAATTTAACTATTGTTTTTTCGAATTTTAATGCTATTGGCCACATCTGGCCTTTACAGTTTCACCGAACGATAGGGGCGAGTACAGATGGCACTCCAAACCAAGGAAGGACTTATGGAATGGCAAAAGGCCAACTCTTGCCTGACGGATACGACTTTAGTCTGAGAGCACCGCTAGGGGTACGAACCTCGTCTCGGGCCGTCGTAATTTCGATCGCTGTTTGAATTAGACGGGATGTCGTTATACATTCATTTGTTGTATGTCACCATCATTCTCATGTTTTGTTTATTCGCGAGCTAGTCATGGTATAAAGTTCTTAGTGAACACTCTAATTCATCTACTTCATCATCAAGTAGCTTGCTGTTCAAGCTATGTGTTGGTCCTCAGGAATGACAACTTCTGTAATGTTTTTAATTCTTTATGAGGTTGCTCGTTTCCATCAGCTGCTGCCTTCCGCTTCTCGCATTCTGGTTACATATAAAAATATACATCATTAATTAAAATTTACTTACGCCTTACGTATGTTCTGTTAGTTTCCTAGTTAAAATCATGGTCTGTGAAGGTGCATTTTTCAATTTGAACGGTACGATGGCAAACAAGCAAGATATTTTAATGAAGGCCTCTGACCATAAATGGAGAAATTAATTAGTCGGCAAGTTCATTAATTAGTTTTGTGATTAATTCAATGATTAATTTTTTATCCTCAGCCGGTGCCACAGATTCGCGGCCGGTGCTGGCAGCGTGCGGCGCGACGCAGTTTTTTTTCTCGTGACAACACCGAGAACTTCATCACGTTCTGCCGCGAGTTGGGGGTGCACGAGAACTTGCTGTTTGAAAGCGATGACCTTGGTGTGTTGCTATTTTAAAATTTGTAACCAAAACAAAGAGGAATGAGTAAGGGGACAAATATCAGCATGGGTGATGATGATGTAATACCAGCCGATTTCGGCCATGGCGACTCTCTTCAACTCCGATTTTGCCATTGATGTGCTCGTATGTGGCCAGTTTTGTTTATAAATTAGAAATTAAAAATAATCTTTATTCAAATAAACTTAATATAAGCACTTTTGAATAGTCAAGTTTTTTTTTATTCTACTGCTTATTCGGAATGCAGATTCATCACAAGAAGAATAAGCAAGAAACTTGTGTGTTGCTTTTTTAAATAAATATCCTCGCATATTACTGGCATGAGAGCACACCACATAGATACACACACAGAGAGCACATAATTATATCTCACAACCAGAGAAAGACGACGATTATATATTGTCAGTTCATGTACTATTAACTTATGATAATAAAGTTATATATACGACCATTTTTAAATAGAAACTCTGTTACAAAGTGTAGTGTGGTTTGAAAGGGATGTAGGTTTTTCTTTATTATATCAGGCTCTACCATCTATCTACCTTCATGACAAATTTAATGCAAGCCCTTCAGCTTTGAAAACATAATATTAAATTATATAAATATAAAATTCGCAAGAAACTTTCCTGTCATGACACATTGGAAGCTTTTAATGGACATAAATTTTGCACTACGCATAATGTCGTTTACATCTTGTTCAACCAACTTTAAAAACTGTACTTTCTTCCGTATGTCACCTTAGGTTTTTTTCTATTAGAACCGATTTCATTTTTGTTGAGAGTTTCATTTGATCTTATATAAATTTTATTATCAACAACATATATACCCTAGTTTTTTACTAAATTTTGTTTACTAAATTTTGTCTTTTTATCTTTAGTACTCCACAACCAACCGCGCCAAGTGATTTTGTGCCTCCTGGAGGTGGCGCGGCTGGCGACCAAGTTCAACATTGAACCACCTGGACTGGTGCAGCTTGAGAAGGAGATCGCGATGGAGGAACGCGACTCTGGTCTAGATTCGGCCATGTCAGGCGCCGCCTGGCAGTTCAGGGATGCCTCGCCTGTCCCTCAATTGGAGAAGTATGCTAACCATACATTAACCATAATGACATATTGACATTTTCTAACTGATTACTTTTTTAATGTATTATTATATTATATAACAGTATTTATATTTAAAACCTTTTTGTTTCAGATCAATCAAAGAGCCACCATCTTCACCAGAACCTAATGACAGTAAGTTTCAAACAATTTATGGAGTAGTTTTTTTTGGAAAATTTTCAATGCTGTTGGCCGCAGCTGGCCTTTTATTCATCTTCATTAGACGATAGAAGGCGAATGCAGATGGCACTCCAAACCCTGGAAGGACTTATGTAGCGAGTGAAGGCTTAACTCCTGCTTGACAGATATGACTTTATTCTAAGGGCACTGCTCCAATTCAAACGGGGTTCGTACCTCGACTCAGGCCGTCGTAATTTCGATCCCCGTTTTGAATTGGACGGGGGCTCAATCGGAGGGGGCATGGAATACCTACTGTATATAAAAGATTCTTGGAGCATGGACCTAAATCATTTTTTTTAAATTACGTATTGTTATTGTTTCCACAGCTCAACTATCTGTACCAGACAACGTAGATACAGAAAGCACCAAATCTGAAGGGACAGTGGGCAGCACAGACTCTGATGTGCCGCTGAAACCAACCAACGAACTAGATAAAAGGGTATGTTCCAATGTTTCAATTCACCCTCACCTGTCTGTCTATGTTCCTACACACGATATTGAAATTCAGTTACTTGAAGTAGCTATAAACAAAAATGATGCTTATATTAGCGTAGTTACTATTAGCCCCACCCTTTATAAAGATCTCTTACCTATGCCTAACAGTTCTTTGTACCTTGTAGAATTAGCCAGCTGAAAAATGCTAGTCTTACACATACATACTATAGACTTGAAAAGAATACGAGCTGAGTTTCTTGTCAGTTCTTCTCATCTCGAAAGCATTCCGAACTGATATCATAAGAATCTGTAATAGACCTACATGAATAAATATATTTTGACTGATTTGATGCGTATTACTGTATACCTGCACCGTGATGCCAGAGGAATTGAGTGTTGTCATTCAGAAGTCAAAACTCATCAATGCCTTACCATATTTATTTATGTACAGGTGCAACTGGTTACTCGGCTGATGGAACGCGGATGCAACTGCAACTCTGGAAAGTGCTCCAAACTCCTCAAGGTGAAAAAGGTTGGCGAGGGTCGTTACAACATCGCCGGACGAAATGTTTTCATAAGGGTGAGTAGATATTATTATTCAACACAAAAAAAACTCTGTAGACGTAAATATATATTATCACCATCTCCCTAAGATGCACAGTAACTAATGGAAGATTAGTCCTTAATTTAAATGTGTGGAGATGGTATAAATGGTGGTAATATCTTTTAATCCTCAGAGGCGACTAGGACAACCAACATTCTAGGTACAGGTTACATGCCGCCTCGTTAATATTGTAATAGTACGTAGTAATTCCTCTCGTACGGAATGAGATCCATGCCCAATAGTGGGATGTCCTTTGATCATTACAAATGTAATGTAATTTTATATGAGTTATCTCTTAAATCATGAACATGTCGTCTTTATTTTCAGTTGCTGAAAGGTCGTCACATGATGGTCCGCGTGGGCGGCGGCTGGGACACGCTCGAGCACTTCCTGTCGCGGCATGAGCCCTGCCAGGTGCGCCTCGTCACGCAGGGCCGTAAGGGCAACGTGCTGCCCGTGACGCTCCCAACCACTGACACTGAGGACAACCAGAGGCTGTCTCCCATCGCTCGCAAACCGAGTACCATATCACCGGCTAGCAGCAAAACCTCACTTGCTAGCAAGGAGCCATCTATCGCCGGCACCGTTTCACCTGTAGATAGTAAAGCTTCCTCTATAAGTGGCAAAATATCACCAATAGAAATCAAAAGCGGTAGAAACACTCGCGCGTCTAGTAAAGCTAGTAGCGGTAAAAGCTCTCCACTCCAGGAAGGCCGTAAAACTTCAACGCCAATTAAACCTGTGACAGCCAGAAATTTAAGGTCCGCTTTAACGTTACCTTTGAAATCGGACTCTGTCGATGGTGGACTGCAAAAACCAGTAACACCACGCACTAGAAAACAATCAGCACCCTCTAGCTTTAGCACTCCGAACACACCAACCGGTAGATCGCTTAGAACTCCTCCCTCGGAACACAGGAAGTCGCTCACTTCTACAACTTTGACGAACGCACCAAAGAAATCGCGAAGTATGAGTTTGGCCGTCGCACAAAAAGAAGAAAAGAAGCCATTCTGCGGCACGGACAGATTGAATCAAGCAAAGAAGAACAGGAGCTCAAGTGCTGCGACTACGCCGACTGAAACTGCCACTTCGATCGCGCGGAAAATGCGCAGCCAAAGTCTCGCGTCGACCCCCGTCAACGAGCCGCGCAAGACATTCTCAGGATCAAATGGTTACGCAAAGAAAACGAGGAGCATGAGCCTGGCGACTCCAGTGGAGTACGCCAGGCCACTGAACAAGAGCATATCGGTGACGCTGAACGGAGCTCTGACTCAGGCCGCTATAGAGGAAAGCATCAGGCTCTCATTAGCAGCGACCATAGCCGACGACCCGTCGCCCAAGAAGCCGTTTCTGCACATAAAAGCCAAATATAGGAGTCCTCCGCCGCGTGAAGTGCCACCCAGATAATTTATAATCGTAACATTCCTCATTCCATGAGTTTTAATATTTGACATATTTAGGTAGGACACGTCACGTGTTATTATGTTGCAAATTAGAAATGATACCTATAACCTATTATATTTCATTAGTGGGCATTATAATTGCGTACTGTCTAATCCGATGCGGTTTTGGGGCAGATAATAATTGCAAAGATACACATTTTTCGACTAGCTTTTGCCCGCGGCATCGCTCGCGTTAATTTATCCCCTTAGTGGTGGAATTTATCAAAATCCTTTCTTAGGGGATGCCTACGTCATAACATCTACCTGCATGCTAAATTTCAGCCCGATCCGTCCAGTGGTTTGGGCTGTGCGTTGATAGATCAGTATGTCAGTCACCTTTGAGTCATATATATTTAGATTTAGCATCGTCACAACGTAATGTGTCTACATTTAGGTATCGCTAACATGAAATACGAGTTCAATTAACGTGATCGTCTACAAATAACGTGTAAGCATCATTTAGATCTCCTAAGAAATCTCGTCGACAATTATAAGCATGTGAACACTTAATTTAAACCACACATTCATACACCCCACGGGGGACTAGTCATAATGAATTGTTTTTGTAAGAATATAATGTTATTAATTAAATATTATTATAATTTAATACTTTCCCAATTGCAATAATACGAATATTGTGTAATTTAATTGTATTATATATCTGTATAAGCATTTTGTAAGTATTTACTTGATAATTTATATTTGGGCGGAGTAATATCTTTATATAATCCTGAGCCATAATCATTTCTCGTTAATTTTTTCAACATACAATTAGGAATTATAATTTAATTTTCACTTTAATCGTCATGTTTGCTGTATTGTTATCAATTAACTATATATTCTTGATTGCACTATATAACAATATAACTTAGTCGATAGTGTCGAGTGGCCTCACAGCGATCTGTACGGTACAAATATGATATCCACACATATATTTTGATACGAAACATTAGAAAATATTTTTGCACACTCATTACATAGATAACGTTAGATAGATACAGAAATAGTGACCTAATTAGATGTAGGTGTGAGAGGTACGTGGAACATATCGTCGGTTAAATAGAAAAATGGTACTATTCAAAATGTACATTTTTTACAAGATAAGAATTTAAAGTTTTTTTAATTTATTTAAATTATTTTTTCCTTTAAGGTTTTAACAAAAATGTACACAGTATATATCATTTTAAAAGTATTCAGTTAAAGATTAAGACGGCGTGGTTAATTTTTTAATTATAAAATGGGGCAATGTATGCTACAAATTTTGAAAAATGACATTTTTCTATTTAATCGAATAAGAGTATATCATCTAATAAAATAATGAATACAAAAGAAACCCCAATTAATAATGGTAAGGGATGCGACCGAAGCGATGCTTACTGTTCCACTGTTTCAAGAAATGATAATATCAACGAAATATGAAAGTTCAAATATTTTCTCAATAAGGATATTATTACACTACTTAACTTTTTCGTGTCTATACGATTCGATGCTATGAAACTCGGGCTATTTATCGATATAATGACTAACTTCGGATACACGTCGATGTATCGAGATAGAGTCATTGCGTCAGTAATCGAGAATCGAAGTGAGTTACATAGCGTCGTATCGCCTCGAGCTTCACTTTTCGACTTGACTTTATATTCGTGTAACTGCCAATTTATTTACATTTTACGATACGATTGTGCCAACAGTTTTTAATAATTATGTATGGTTGATAATAAACTTTTTAATATTCTCATTATGCAGTTTTTTTTAATATAGATACTTTATTGTACTTGTTAAATAAAGATACAGAGATGTGAGCAGGAGTGAGCTTTTTCTGAAAGAGATCTCTTCCAGCCAACCTAACGCTGTGAGTTAGCTTGGTACTTAGTTCATATTCCGCCGTAGAATACACCACGCTACAGCCAGCTTACTGTTTCTCAACTTTAGTGTAGTGTATGTGGAAAAACTAGCAGTTTATTATATATCGTCTCGAGCCGAGCGTACACGGGCCGCCGTGCGCAAGAGGATTCCCTGCGCAAGCGCCGCGGAGTAAAGACGTGGAGCTATGGCTAACGAGCCGATATTTTGTCGATAACAACATACATACAAGAAGACATAAATAACAAATAAGTGAACACTATAGATCTCTTCCAGCCAACCTAACGCTGTGTAGTTAGCGGGGCAGCGATATATTTTTGTAATAACAATATTCTAATGTTTACTTAATAAAAAAATATATATTCTTATTATATATGTTTTTATTTAATAATATAATATATAAACCACTTACTGGTTTCATACTCCGCCGTAGAATACACCACGCTACAGCCAGCTTACTGTTTCTCAACCTTAGTATATAGGTTAAACTATGATTTGATAGGAATTTGAACCGGCAGGATATGTCTGAATGATTTTTAGATGCTTACGAGGGGGGCTGCGCCTCAACCCAGGGTGGGTTGAGGGGCAGCCCCTATCATATTATTGATATTCATCATCATCATCATCATCACAGCCCGGAAGACGTCCACTGCTGGACATAGGCCTATTGATATCAAGGGAGATGAAATAAAGTAGTTCTCCATACATTTTATTGAAGTAATTATATTTGAAGTTTTGACAACGAACAGCAATAGTCAGTTCTCTGGTTCCAATCAGCGTAAACTGGTAAGAAATATCAAAGAACAGACATAAATTATTCTACCAAGGCCTACACAATGATTGTGTGTTATTTACAGAGTGCCTACCACAAATTTGCTATTGTTATCAACTGCTTCTTTCTTATCCCATTTATTTGGGATATGTTGCTATATAATCACATTTTCTAAGTTGAACATTTTCTTGTATTAGATTAGATTACATTCTTGGCACGTAGTGACACATAAATAATTATTAGTAAGACACTTTAATAGCTAGATTAGAGACACGCTAGTAAAATAATGGATGGGTCCGCTCGGCGGACAGTATGCAACGCAATTCTCAGGTAACCCGGCGAAATTGTAACCTTATACTTATTGGGATAAGGTTGAATATTGCGTAATGTTTTAAGCAAGGCAACTGCTAGGTGGTACGTCACTATTGTGGCACATCTCTAGTGACGCATCTCTGTTCACTCTCTCCCGTCTTAGCCGTCAAGCCCTACAGGAGATCTCATTAGAACTCATACCAATATCTGGATCTGCACTAATGCCATCTTCAAGACTCATTTCTAAACTGTCCCCATCGTAATTTAATAAAAGTCAATTATCCTTCGACACTGAAGTCTTATTATCTATACATACATATAAATAAAATTGGAGTGTCTGTTTGTAAAATTGAAATAACCGTTTTTTACTACATGTATATGAATATAAATACGGTACATACACCAAAATATTTTTTTTTACAATTTTTGTCTGTCTGTCTGTCGGTCTGTTTGTTCCGGCTAATCTCTGAAATTAGTGAACCGATTTTGACGGGACTTACTTTGGCAGGTAGCTGATGTAATGAGTAACTTAGGCTACTTTAATTACAGAAAATTCTTTTATTTTGGAATTTTAAAGTTAAATTCCACGCAGACGAAGTCACGAGAACAACTAGTTATAAATATAACCAGAAGAGACAAAACATTCTATCTAATCAATATAAGAGAAACAGTCTGTTCTGTAGTGAATTTATTTGCAACTAACACAATTTATATGGTCGTACTTTTTTTATTGATCGTGGATGGCAAGAAGTTGCTTAACCTATGTAAAGTCGAAGATGTCCAGCACCTCTTGATGGAATGTGATAGGAATAGAGTAGAGAGGGAACTATTTATTAAAGATTTTAAAATCAACAAATTTCATGTGGGTACTATTCAGAGCATACTACATGCCCCTACTACGGATATTGCTCTGCGTTTGTGTGCGCTGATAAAAGCAACTTAATAAAGAGATGACATGTCTGAAAACAAAAACCCCAAAATAAATCTAGATTAAAAAAAACCTATGTATATTGATGGACTAACCACGACTTCAGAGACTGCTTCAAAAATAATCACATTACTGAAAATGTTCACCCCATCGTCCCATCCAGGACTCTCTCCCCACTGGGCACACTGGGTACGTGCCCAGGGCCCCGCGATGTTGGGACCCCCTAGTCTAGTCTAGTCCGTACTCCATTGCCAAACAATAACCGATAGCTACTCTACTCTCGCCTGAAAAACAGTCGTAACAAATGCTTACCGGCTATGGTCAATTTGTTATTTTTTTTATAAATAGGAACGTGCCCAGGGCCCCGCCATGGATTGGGGCCCCCTAGTCTAGTCGCTACTCCATTACCAAACAATAACCAATAGCTACTCTACTCTCGCCTGAAAAACAGTCGTAACAAATGCTTACCGGCTATGGTCAATTTGTTATTTTTTTTATAAATAGGAACGTGCCCAGGGCCCCGTGATGGATTGGGGCCCCCTAGTCTAGTCCCTACTCCATTACCAAACAATAACCAATAGCTACTCTACTCTCGCCTGAAAATCAGTTGTAACAAATGCTTACCGACTATGGTCAATTTGTTAATTTTTTTATAAATGTCTGGCAAGAACTTGCCTGGTGTGTTTTGAAGGTAGAGCATCCCGATATACATCTCTGAGGAGTCATGTTCAAAAATGACTTTGTCTATTCTAACAAAATAGTGCTTTATTACTGTGGTCATAGGGGCCCCATTATCCTAATGTGCCCAGGGCCTGTAACAGGTGAAAGATGGCCCTGGTTCCATCATCATCATACCTTGCCTTTATTCCATTATTTGGGTTGGTCGCAGGCGCTGGCGGGGCACCAGTGGAGGATGATAAGATGAGCATGAGATCAGGTCACAGCCCATCGTGGTATTTTCTCCAGGTTGCTTTCCAGGGTTAACCACGTGGAGGCCAACCTGATATGGTATATTTCTAGCAATGGGGACATTAGTCCAGATTACTCTAACCCTATCCCCTCCCTGCCATATGCAGTGTGTTATATTATTATACAGTGCGGCGCGAAGCGTGTCGGGTGGGCGGTGGCCGCGGGCTCGGCGAGTACCGAGGGCGGCTGCGAGCGCGTGCCGGTGCCGGTTCGAGCCTCGGTGACGCCTCATCGCCGCCGGTACACATACTACAAAAAGATGTTCAAACCGATGTGCTACTCGCTGCCCGCCCCATTCAAGATCTCGCTAGTATGAAGAGTCACAATACATATGGGTACAGATTGTAAGTTTTATGTAAAATGTGCACCCGACTGCACATTTTACTTTTTAATTGACATATTATTATGTTGGGCATTGATTTTAATTATTTTATTTATAGTGTAAAACTTTAAGTTGGGCTAAAAAGGACTTGTATCCAGAGCCGTAAAACAAATTAAAAAAAGGATATATTCCATCAATACAGACCGTAGAATAGTATAGAAAATTCTTTATTCAAATAGACTTATTTTTGAGACGTCAAATTTTTTTTTATCTACTGCATATTCGGTTAGTTCTCCAGTCAAAAGAACGAGCAAGAAACTTGCGTTTTGCTATTTTAAATAATTGTTGTAACTTTACATTTTAGACGGTCGTCTAGCGATTCGGCACACCGCTTTACTTCTGATGGTCGCGAGTTCGTTTCCTCGTACGTAACTCCTCCAGCTAAATATTCATGAGTATATTGTTTGTATCGGTCTGGGTGTTTGTATATTTCCAAAAAATATAAGTATTTATATCAGTTGTCTAGTACCCATAACATAGCTCTGCTTACCGTGGGACTAGATGGCACTGTGTTAATTGTCCAGGGTTATTTTTTTTAAGTTGAAATGTGTGAATACAAACTATCAACGAACATTAATTCAAAGGTGCAACACAATGACAGGACGAGTTCAGATCATAACCGACCTAATGCCCATCATGGTAAACTCCGTATTTGTTCCCTGGAGACCATATCCCGGGAACGTATACAGTTACATTATTCCATATTTATAAATAAAAAAAAAAAGTAGCTAAGTAAATGTTGTTTTGGATTACGTAGACAGCATCTGTTTGATTATTTTGATTTCTATGTTGATCGTCGCATGCCTCATCCTGTTAATGTGTATTTATTTAAAAGAGCAACACGAAAGTTTCTTGCCCGTTCTTCTTATAATGCACTCTTTCTGAGTGGCAGAATTAATATGACTATTTAAAATTGCTTAAATTAAGTTTATTTGAATAAATATTATTTATATTCTATTTTTTAGAAAGATCTGATTGTTGATGGCGGCCATTCGTATAAGTCGAGGTCTCCCACGCTCTTTTGTTCAAGATTAGCATTTAGTACCTTTCTAGTCATGTTCTCCTGGTCTTCAACCAACTGTACCAATGTAACATAACTTATTATTAAATTAAAATAAAACACTAAAATATACGTTTTATAATTACTGTTTTATTTAATACCTATCGCAGGTATTTATTGGAAATTATATGAAAATAAGTATTATACAAACTAGGAATGAATATATAAATGCTAACAGTGCATTGATTCACGTTTCCGAATGAAAATTCACTTATATTAAAATAAATACGTTTAGAGAGCAATAGTAAATTGAATTGTATTTATTATATCAATTTTATACACGTTTGTATGTGATCATGTATTGTGGTGGGCAGACTTGAAAATGTTATATAACCTCGCAGAAATATTGGCGGGAAAAAGATGACATGTTATTTTTTTTATTACTCTCTGCAATGGAAAGCAAAAGTAGAAACTTATAATATATGTATATATATACAATCAACTTTATATATATATAAATATATATCCCGGTATATTCAGTATATAAATTAATATTTAAACTCACACATATTATTTATTACTAATCATATCTTTTTATACGATTATTATTTCATTCTTAAACATATTGTTTCATATATTGCATTCAAGTAACTAAATTGGTTAAAAATAATATGTTCACCAAATATGCCAAGTGTGACTAATTGTATGTGTATGGTATAGTGATGTGTCGATATCTTAAAACTTCTAGTACCCTAGTAGTTATAAGTTACCAACTGCAAAAAATTGCAATGTGATTAATTTTTATGATTTTATTTTATTAATTATTTATTTCACATGTTTTTAAGTTCAAACAATATAAGAAATAATAAAAATAAATAATTTTTTAGAGTAGCCATATTGAATACATCATCAATACATATTACAATCAGATATTAAATGTTAATAATACACCATCCTCTGATGTATGCGTTTAAATTTAAGCTTATATTGCATCTACCTATCCTGTAGAGTATACAGCGTGAATATAAATTATAAAACCATCTGTACGTTGCAATTTTTAGCAAGAAATAGTACATATTGTATTTTCACGTTATTTTATACTCAGTGTGGGTGGGTGTAAATTTTGTATTGTTTGTTTATAAGGAAATTTAGGCAGTGATTTCATTTGTAGCTACAAACTTAGATATCAGTTTTATCACCTTAATATTTATTGTAAACGCGAAAGAGTGTGAGTATGGATGGATGTTTGTTACTCTTTCACGGAAAAACTACTCAACTGATTTTTATGAAACTTTACAGTAATATAGCTTATAAATCAGAATAACATATAGATTATAAATTTCATGCGAGTGAAACCGCGACCACAGCTAGTTTTACAATAGATAAGTATTATATTTAATATTGGGTCTAGTCACTATAAAAGTAAAGGGTATTTCAGCTGTGTGTGTGTCTCTCACAATAAACTATTTAAACATAACTATGTTTAATTTTCATACAAAACTTATATGCTACGTTCAGTACTCGAATACGTTGTCCGATGAACAGCAAGCGGTACCTTGCACTTACTAACAGTAAGTGCAAATGTGCTGTGTGAAAAAAATCATAGGATCACTTATATATATATATTCTTGTATTTATTTATAAAAAAACATAAGATCAAGTCGCTGTTTCGTCTGTTTGTTGGCTTAAACCACGCAACAGATCATAACACGGTTCACGATCATTTAGAAATCATTTTCCGGGAGGTTTATAGGTATTATTTATGACCATGGCAGAATGGTAGATGTGATTTTTGTATCATCACATTGAATCAATATTTTAGGCACATAGAAACAAAATTTTAGTTTATTGATTCCTATATATGTATTCGTTTAACATTTTCGAGCACTGAATAACTATTCTAGGCATTATAGCTAATTGTAAATAATTATTTAGATTTAATACATTTGGTAGATATATTTTATAACCAAACCTGGTTAGTCATTTGGCCGATTTTACTTAAATATAATATTTTATCGACGAAATTAAGATACATTAAATGTTAAATTAAACAAACTAAATTTGTGTATAATTGAGAGGCAAAAATAATAGATTATTATGAATTAAACAATATTCAATACAAAAAGAAAACCTGTGATGGGTTGAATTCATAACATTTATCAACAATGCAATTTTCTATATTTATAAAGCATATCATTTGCATTTTTTAGCGAACATATTTTTTATATCATCATTCTGTAAATAATATAATTGCAATATTTATTCTGTAATTACAATATCTCGCCAGGTTTGTTTAGAGGTAATAATACACCAAACGATCTTATATTAATTTAGGATAGGCTTTTTCATATAAATGTAACATTAGAATTAGTAAAGTGCACATTACACGTATGTAATATTATCAGTCATAAAATAAAGTCTAAAACGTTTTTAGTGGAATTAAATAAGTTTAGCCTTCTGTTCTTATTTAAGAAGATTATGCATTAACTATTAACTATAGGTATTATTATATTTGTGGTCCAAATAACTGTATCAAGACTCAATGATATTGAATATTTTGAATATTAATATGTAACTACTTTAAATACTATCATAAAATCCACAAGAAATTATATGGGTTTTGTATGATTACTTGATAATGTGTATTGGTTTATGAAAGGCAGTTACTTAAATATTACAAAAATAACTATTAACTCGTAATAGTTATAAATATGACTGCATATTAAATAAATTGGAAGTTCAAAACATGTTTTTAAAAATAAATTATATTATGGAATCATTATAGTTTTCTTTTCACCCCACTACATACCAGGGCGGCAGGAGTTGAGAAGAGTATATCCGATTACTATTTCCTGTTGTAAAAATTTCTTACATTTATAAAAATAACTATTAAACTTTTAATAATTATAAATATGACGGTGTAATGTGACTACATATTTAGTAAATAGGAAGTATAAATTGTGTTTTAAAAAATAAAACATATTATCGAATCATTCTATATTTCTTTTCACCGCTGTAAGTACCAGGGTCGCACGAGTTGAGGAGAGAATATCGGATAACTTCTTGTTATTGCAAAATTCATTACAACATACAAAAATAACTATTAACTTGTAATAATTATAAAAGTGATAGTCTAATGTGACTACATATTTAGCAAATAGGAAGTATAAATTGTGTTTTAAAAAATAATTTATATTATGGGTAATTTTCTTTTCACCGCTGTACGTACTAGGGTCGCACGAGTTCAGAAGAGTATATCCGATTACTCCTTGTTGTTGCAAAATTACTTACAACATACAAAATTAACTATTCAACTTGTAATAATTATATTCAGTAATCAGGAAGTAATATCCGATTACTATATAAATGTGACGGTGTAATGTGACTGCATAGTAAACAGGAAGTATAAATAGCGTTTTAAAAAATAAAACATATTATGGACATACTATCTTTTCACCGGCGTATATACCAGGCTCGCAGGAGTTAAGAAGAGTATATCAGATTACTTTATAAATGTATGATTTATGTTTTAAAAAATGGGATGGGATCATTCCAGTTTTCTTTTCACTACTGTACGTACCAGGCTAGCAGGAGTTACGAAGAGTATATCCGATTACTATACAAATGTGATATTACGGAATTATTTCTTTTCACCCGTGTATGTATACCAGGCTCGCAGGAGAAAGGAATAGTATATCCGATTACTTCTTCTTACTCTTGCCGAGTGTGAGTGTGTGGTGCGACTGCAAATTATGCTGCTTGCGTCTGTTGAACTCGATGGTGTCATCTTCTATCTTCTTGCGAAGTTCTTCGAGCCGCTTCTTTTCGTCTGTGTGATCTTTTTTCAGCTTGTCAAATTTGGTGTGGAGCTGTGGATTAAATAATAAATCATTAGGGTTTGTTTATAGGGGTTTTTTTTTAATTGCTGTTTCTGGTATTGGAAATAAACCCAAGTCCAGTAATATATAGTTTTACATATTTTTAAGCCAGGGCTGGGATCTCGCTCTATAGCTAAATATTCAAGGGTTATGTATCATATTTCTACATAATAATATTCAGGAACAATTCACACACATATGGAAAACACCCAGACCTCATGAATAAAAATATTTGTACCGTGCTAGAAATCGAACTTGCGACCATCGGAAGTAACCTAAACCGCTAAGTCACCAAGACCATCTAATTTATATTTCTACATAAACTTTAAATTAATTTTATATATATTTCTTTAAATAAATTAGATTAAAAATAACTTTAATTAGACACAATATTTTGGAGTTATTTGGACATAATACTTAATAATACGTGAAAATAAAGCATGCAAACAATAATAATATAGTTTTATTTGTAAATTATTTTAGGTCAATTGGATATAGGATGTTATTGAAAACGTGACCCTTGCAAAATCAGCTTATAGCAAGCGTACAAATTTTTAAGTATTAAATTACTGATTATTTATATAATTATTATTTATTCAAAGTATATGTAAATCTTCAATCTAAATATATATAACTCAAAGGTGACTGACATAGTGATCTATCAACGCAAAGCACAAACCACTGGACGGATCGGGCTGAAATTTGGCATGCAGGTAGATGTTATAATGTAAACATCCGCTAAGAAAGGATTTTGATTAATTCTACCCCCAAGGTGATAAAATAGGGGATGAAAGTTGGTATGAAACTTTGTCATTTTAAACCGATCGGGCTGAGACTTTGGATGCATAAAGCTACTTGACGTAGGAATCCCCTAAGAAAGGATTTGAATAAATTCCACCCCTAAGAGGATAAAATAGGGGATGAAAGTTTGTATAAATCTTAGATTTTGTAGGCCCAAATTTTTTACACACACAAAAATAAATCCGCAAAAACTACAATTACTACTAATTAAAAATAATTAATTATCATTTTAGGTTTCTATAAACTCTATTATAGAGTAGAAACACTTGGAAAGTAACCATTCATGCAGTTTACATCTAAATAATATTCCAGAGAGTTCCATCGGTGTAAGTTTAATGCAAGAAACACTATATTTTTACCTCTTTCTCGGCTTCCTTGAGTTCAGCCTCCTTCTCCTTGACGCGTTGCACGAACATCTGCCGCATCTCGTCTTCCTTCTGCTGCAGCTCGGCGAGGTGCGCGCTGCGCTTCTGTTCGAACGTCTGCTGGAAGGACACCTGGAAACAACGACAACTATGTCAAGTATTGTAACACAGGGTAGTGGGTTCCGAAATTTTTGTATTACATGAATCTGATGGTATTCCAAATTTTTGGTCTCGAAACCACATCTACATGAGTACATGATTTCGATACCGTGTGTACAGTGTGTCGCGAAGTTTCGTTGAACAATTGAATCGAAAATGTGACGGTAGATGAAAAAAACTGCTGTGACCTATTTACATTGACATCGCTGTTACTCCAGTCAGCTCGTGACCACGGCTAGTGCAACCTAGTCGAAACGTCGAGAGAGGTAAATACCTTTATTTGCCATAAAATTATTCGTGTTAAGACCCGGTTAATAATTTAAATAATAAATGATTTCGAGTCATCAAAATTTTTAATCTTAAAATAATTTCCTTATCCCATTTATTTGTCGTCGTAATATGTTTTTCTCTTCCATTCATCCCTGTTCGCAGTCATCTCGTTATTTACTCCCTTTCTAACCATATCATCTTTCACACAGTTCATCCATATCTTTTTCGGTTTCCAAGACTACATTCACTTAAGACACTTTCAGTACAAATTACGCGTGAGATTAGATTACGTCCACCCTCAAGGTACTAAGCAACAAACACACTGAAACTCGCAGCGCAAAAGCATCGCGATTTTCGAGACAAACGTTTGCAGCCCTTTTGCGCTGCGTAGCCGTCAATATATGATACTAGCTTTTACCCGCGGCTTCGCTCGCATAACTTCATTACTCGCTGCTATATAGCATTGAAGTAGCCAAATGTTGATATTTTATTTTTTGTTTCTTATAAAAAGTATCCCATGTTCAATGTAATACCTCCAAGAACAAGTGTAAAGAATTGCACGATGATTGGTACAGTACTTTTTGCGTGAAAGCGTAACCAACACACTTTCACATCTATACATATAAATAAAATTGATGTGTCTGTTTGTAATATTGAAATAAACGCTTTTTACTACATGCATATGAATATAAATACGGTACACACACCAAAATAACATTTTATACAATTTTTGTCAGTCTGTCTGTTTATTCCGGCTAATCTCTGAAATGGCTGGACCGCTTTTGACGGGACTTTTTCTGGCAGGTAGCTGATGTAATAAGGAGTAACTTGCCTAAGTTTCATTTTAGAAAATTAAAGTTAATTTCCACGCGGACGAAGTCGCAGGTGCAGCTAGTTTATAATCTTATATATAAAATTCTCGTGTCACAGTTTTCGTTCCCATAATCCTCCGAAACGGCTTGACCGATTCTCATGAAATTTTGTGAGCGTATTGAATAGGTCTGAGAATCGGCAAACATCTATTTTTCATCTCCCTAAATTTTAGGGGTAGTTCACCTCTAGATTTTTTTTTATTTTAAGGCAAAACAACGTTTGCCGGGACAGCTAGTATTAATATAATAAGGAAGTAAGGATACCTATACAGGTAAGCTACGTACGGGCTTGTTATCAGCGTCCACGTCCGTGAAGCCCATCTGCTGTAGCCGGCGGCGGCGGTACAGCTCGTAGTGCCGCGCGTGCGTCTTCTCGCGCATGTCCTCCATGTTGGTGCGGATCAGCATCTCGCGCAGCTTCACAAAGTCGCAGTGGGACTCGTTCTCGACTGTTACAAACAACGTAGTATTACAACATATAATATCAGGTATACTATATATATTATTATTTGTATATATTTATTTGCATTTCATATGTATTATATAATATTTATTAGTAACTTTGTGTTTGTTTTTCACATAACTGCCCCACAACGCTTTCTGTATACCTAAAGGTTCGCTGGTGGAGAATGCCATATGGCATTAAGCTCGCCTTTGTACAAGTTTTTTTTGTGCATTAAAGAATAAATAAAAAAAATAAAAAAACATGTCGTTTGTAGCAAATGATGCAATGAGGAAACTATTGACGACAGGCGACACATATAAGCGGCGTCGCGACGCACCTATAATATTTGTGTAGATTAGGTAGACAATAAGTTGTGTGTTGAAATTGGACAATAACTTAGAAATAATATTAGTTTTTAAAAGTGCTGTTTTAGAATAAGACATCGATTCACTGTTTAAAACTACGATAACGGTTGAACATGTGTTTGGTTACCAGCGTTCATTTGGCATTCATTGTTTATAAACACAATGAATATTTGTTGGCCTTTTGTGATAAGATAACACCGTTACTATTTTCTAGCCATCGGGTTTATGATGACCGTAGGGTTTCTTATTGTAAACATATTCTTATTGTAGACTAACGGACGGAACACGGTAATTCATGTCTTTATGAATATTGTCCAATCCGTGTTTACAGTGCATTGTAATTAGACAAGGAAATTGGTTATTGCACCAATGTTAAATATTCTTGGGTGGAGTTGTAGAATGCAATGCATTCTTTATGAGTAACTGTTAGTTTGTGAGAATAAAGAAGTAAGGGAATTTCGGCAATGTGCAAAGATATTGTTATGAAGTTGTATAACGTTGTGCATTGTCTGATAGAAATAAGGTTTGGTTTATTGCCAGTAAGAATTTTGTAAGGACTGTAGTCCCCACTACAGTCTATACCTCCCATATATAAGGCGAGGAATTTTTGTATCGAGTTAGTCGTAATATAGTTATAATGCAGTCATAATACTGTTATAATAGAGGGACTCAGACAGTCATAGTCGGATTGTTATATGCCGACGGCTGTCATAATCGAACACAGTACGGACGGCAGTTATAGTCCGTTATTATTGTAAAGTCAGTCGCGGTAGTTTCCTATAGACGCCATACAGTCTGAGCTACAGCGGCTGAAACTTGAATGTAACATCGAATACGGCTATAACTCAATTGTGAAACTTCTGTGGAGAGAATAAACAGGCTTCGAGAGACAACCGTTTCTTTCAAACCCCATCATCGATACAGTCCACTGCTCTCCCTGAGGAGCTGTCGCCAACAGTGTTGGACCTTCGAGCGCCGGATCTGCTGACAGCGACCTACGGAGATAAAATGGTAGTCACAAGAGGCCAAGCGGAACGTGATGAACAAGCGGCAGCGCTAGATGAAAAATCACCACAGTCACCGTCAATGAATAGGGTGGGCCCCCAGGAACATCGGAGCCCCGGTGACACCGTACCCTCCACACGCCGCGGATATCAGGTTGAAAATTGGACGGCCGGCGCCGAACAATTCGCCGGGCCGTCAACCGCCACCGCAATGAGGCAAGAAGTCACACAATATAGAAGAGGAACACCGACACCGTCCGTACAATCTATAAGAAGCGTGCAGGACGAGGCGATGCAACTAGCTGACATGGATCCTAAAATGGACAATCGTACACGTCAGAAGCTAGCAATGAACACTGCCGCCTCGAACAGATATTCAGCAGACCCAGGGGAACCAGAACAGAACGAACATCGTGTCCAGGAGTGGTTGAAACAAAATGGACCACCCACGGACAACATACGAGGGGAGTCGGTATTTATACGTACCAAACCGACTCGCCACGAGAACGGGGAACAATTAAAAACCCCGATCAAGACACAGAACAATGAAGACCAGCATCGACGATCATCAACACCGACGGACATAATGGAACGAGCCATAGACAAGCTAACGAGCGCGGTAGAATTTCTTATGAAGTCCAGGCCACCACCACGACAAGCTACTGATTTACCCATATTTACTGGGTCGCCGTGGGAATGGCTTCAATTCCGCGCAGCTATGACGGAGACGACAGCACTGTATCGCTTTACAGCAGTCGAAAACATAGCGAGATTGCGAAACAGTCTGCGGGGTGAAGCTAGAGAAATGGTAGCACCGTTGCTGAATGCCTCGACCCATCCAGATCGTATTATGGAAACGCTGGAACAATGCTTCGGTCATCCCGAAATAATAGCCGATCGTGCTATTGAAGACTTGAAGCGACTGCCACGACCAGGGCAGTCCACTAGCGAATTTAATGCATTCGCAGTTAAAGTACAAAACATCGTAACAGTTCTGAGTCAAGTAAAAAAGGTTATCTGTTCAACCCAATGCTGACCAGGGAAGTACTGGACAAAATGAGTCCCCATCAACGATCGAACTGGTATATATTTGCAGAGGAAAATGAGAAGCAGGATATACCAGACATAATTCAACTTTCAAACCATCTTACGCAAGAGGCGAGAAGGGCTATGAAATATGGATATTCGGCGCCTACATATGTAAAAAAAGAAATACCGCGACCACCCACGATGCATAGGCAGACAGCGATACCGCTTAGGAATAAGAGACATGTTTTTACAGTTGAAACTGTAGAAAATGAGAATAAGGGACACACGATTGTGTGCCCAGACTGCAGAGGACAACACAAGTTAACAGTTTGTCCTGAATTCACAACAAAAACAATCGATCAACGATGGAACGTTGTTAAAAAAGGCAGTCTGTGTTTTAAATGTCTCGTAAGTAAAAATAAACGTCACAATTGCGAAGCAATACCGTGCGGCGTCAGCACGTGTAAGCTTCGCTACCACCCGCTGCTGCACCAACACACAGGGCTCAGCGCAAACACCGGTGACAACGCTGAAGACATCGACAACGAAGCGGTTACGACAACGACAGTTGACAAGAGTACCGACATCAAATTAAAAGTATGTCCAGTCACTGTAATTGGCCCGAAAGGAAAACAAAGAATATATGCACTGTTCGATGAGGGATCTACAGTTACGCTATTGGATGGAAAAATAGCAAAAGCAGTGGGAGCGGACGGACCGATTCACCCACTAAACATGCATGGAATAAATGCTGACCGATGCGAAATAAATAGTCGATCGGTACAGATTAAGATACAAGGACAGAGCCGACGCAAATATAAAATAAATGCAAGAACCGTCACAGAAATGAAGCTCACTAGTCAGTCTATACCTAAACGACTGTTAGATTTAAATCATTTAAAGGATTTAAATCCGAATAACCTATGCTACGATAATGAGCGCCCACAGTTGTTAATCGGATCGGACAACTGGCAGCTTATCGTTACAAGAAAATTAAAAATGGGAAGTAGAAACGAGCCAGCCGCGTCATTAACGCAGTTAGGCTGGGTACTGCACGGTACCACTCCCCGCGTAACGAACAAAAGGGACTCGGCACAGGTGCTGCATGTTACAACAGTAGCAGAAAATAAACGGTTGCACGAGCACGTCGAGCAACACTTCGACACCGACACGTTGACTATAGAGAAAAAAATGAAGATAAAGTCGACGGATCAACGAGCAATTGATTGTTTCGAGACAACCGCGCACCGTAAGGATGACCGCGCATAAAAAGTCAGCTTGCGGAGGCGTAAAGTTGACGTCACACTGCCATCAAGTAATAACATGGCACTGAAACGACCGAAAACAGCTGACTATCTCGCCCGCAGCGAGGAAACGGTAACAGTATATTCAACAAACTGTAGTGAACGTAGCCTACCAGATGTAAGGCGTTTTTCAAATTACAACCGAGTGCTACGCGCTACAGCGATGCTGTTTCTGTTTAGAGATAAATGTCGAAATAAGAACGCACTTCTCGACATTGAACACCTGAAAAAGGCTGAACGCGTGTGGATTAAAGAAACACTACGCAACTCATTCGGCTCTGAAATAGAGATATTGATTGATATTCTCATAGAAAAACAGCACCGATCCGCTGGACACGCTAACAACGAGAGAGTCGTAAATGATATACGACAGATATATTATATAATAAATCTCCGACCAACCGTACGAGTAATAGCAAGAAGCTATCTTTGGTGTAGAGTACGAAAGAAGATGCCCACACCACCGAGTATGAGAGACCTGCCAAGGGAAAGATTACAGCAATTTCATAGGCCGTTTTCAAATTGTGGCATTGATTACTACAACCCTATTATAATTACAATAGGGAGACGGCATGAAAAGCGATGGATAGAACACTTTACCTACTTAACAACGAAGCGGCACATCCGAGATGCGAATAAGCAGAAAGAATACATTGAAATAGGTGACATGGTGATCGTAGTAGATCACACACTGACACGCAACGTGTGGCCAAGAGGCGTCGTCGAAGCAGTACATCCGGGAGCCGATGGTGTAGTACGCAGTGCCAACGTGCGAACGCGAGGAGGTGTATTTCGTCGGCCCACGAGTAAACTGGCTGTGCTGACACCGAGGATACAAGAAGTCGCCGTCTACCAGTGAAAGGAGGCTGCGACGAGTCTACGCCGAGGGGAGGATATTGACGACAGGCGACACATATAAGCGGCGTCGCGACGCACCTATAATATTTGTGTAGATTAGGTAGACAATAAGTTGTGTGTTGAAATTGGACAATAACTTAGAAATAATATTAGTTTTTAAAAGTGCTGTTTTAGAATAAGACATCGATTCACTGTTTAAAACTACGATAACGGTTGAACATGTGTTTGGTTACCAGCGTTCATTTGGCATTCATTGTTTATAAACACAATGAATATTTGTTGGCCTTTTGTGATAAGATAACACCGTTACTATTTTCTAGCCATCGGGTTTATGATGACCGTAGGGTTTCTTATTGTAAACATATTCTTATTGTAGACTAACGGACGGAACACGGTAATTCATGTCTTTATGAATATTGTCCAATCCGTGTTTACAGTGCATTGTAATTAGACAAGGAAATTGGTTATTGCACCAATGTTAAATATTCTTGGGTGGAGTTGTACAATGCAATGCATTCTTTATGAGTAACTGTTAGTTTGTGAGAATAAAGAAGTAAGGGAATTTCGGCAATGTGCAAAGATATTGTTATGAAGTTGTATAACGTTGTGCATTGTCTGATAGAAATAAGGTTTGGTTTATTGCCAGTAAGAATTTTGTAAGGACTGTAGTCCCCACTACAGTCTATACCTCCCATATATAAGGCGAGGAATTTTTGTATCGAGTTAGTCGTAATATAGTTATAATGCAGTCATAATACTGTTATAATAGAGGGACTCAGACAGTCATAGTCGGATTGTTATATGCCGACGGCTGTCATAATCGAACACAGTACGGACGGCAGTTATAGTCCGTTATTATTGTAAAGTCAGTCGCGGTAGTTTCCTATAGACGCCATACAGTCTGAGCTACAGCGGCTGAAACTTGAATGTAACATCGAATACGGCTATAACTCAATTGTGAAACTTCTGTGGAGAGAATAAACAGGCTTCGAGAGACAACCGTTTCTTTCAAACCCCACCATCGATACAGTCCACTGCTCTCCCTGAGGAGCTGTCGTCAACAGAAACAATATGACATGTAATGTAGGTAGATAAATAAATCTGTAGTTTTGTAAACATGTACAAGCACAGAAGAATAAGAGCCGAACTGACGGTAGATTTGACGTATCATAAAGAGTCTGTAATATAACTACACGAATAAAGATATTTTGAATTTGAATTTGAATTGAATTTGAAAATTAATGTTGTACAAGATCAGTTGTAAAGTATGAGCTGAGTTTGTTATCAGTTCTTACTTCGAAAGAACTCTGAATAGACCTACTTTAATAAAGATATTTTGTTTTGATAGTAGAACTGCTGGAGAGTAGTTTTATGGTTTCCATAAATTGAATTAAAAGACAAAATTATACATTTTTTTTGTACCTGGTTTATCCGCGATCAGTATGTCTGCTATAATCGGATTGGTTGAAAATTATACATATAAATAAAAATAATCATCTTTGGACAATTCATGCAAGCCCAAGTATCGAGATGGATGGACTGTGTGAAAGATGATACGGTAAGAAAGGAAGTAAATAACGCGATGACTGCGAACAGGGATGAATGGAAGCGAAAAACATATTACGCCGACCACAAATAAATGGGATAAGGAAGAAGCAGATGATGATGATGATGATGCAAGTCCATGTATCAATCATAAAAGTATATTATTTGGCCAAACCAATATGAATAAATGGTACTGACCTTGCACAGTACCCCAGGGGTACTGCCTGGCGCGCACCGTCTTGTTGCCAATCTTGACGAAGTCAGTACTGCCCACCACTGCGAACGGTATGTGCGAGTTCATGCTGGAGTTGGTCTCGGAGACGGACTCATCGTCCACTGGAAACTGGTATATCTCCACACCGTTCGCTTGAAGCTCTTGCATTATTTTTGACTGTGTGGTAAAATTGCACATAATTACATTAACAACAGTACTAGTGATTACATCCGCTTTTTCTTAGAAATAAAATCTTTATACAAATAAATTTAATATTAGTAATTTTTAAATTCATATTCTTTTTTTTCAAAGGTCAAAGGTTTTTTAAAGTTTAATTACGCAATAAATTTCTAAACGCACCCTGTTGGACAGGTATCAGCCGTTTGTAACGAATTATTCAAGACTAAAATTAGCCAAATCGGTTCAGCCGTTCTCGACTTTTTGCGAGACTAACGAATAGCAATTCTTTTATATATATATAGATAAATAGATTGCAATATGCTTTTTAATTAAATAAATTTATTAAATTAAAAATTTATTAAATTGCTTTTTAAATAAATGTGGTTCAGCATTACATTTTTAAATTCTGTGTGAATAGAAACTGCCACTTAAATTAAATTAAATAAAATAGCAAAATTGACACTTGAATTTTACATATTTGTATAGGACATTTGAACAAAAGTGAATTCAAATTCTCATCATCATCGTGAATGTTAATTTTTTCTATTATATATTTTTCCCTACCGTCCATAAACAAGTTCAGTACATAAACATAAAATATCCAATTGAGAACCACTCGCAAGAAATTCAATTGAATATTTTTTAATTCAGTTTAGTTGTATAATCTGTACATACAATTTTAAATGTAAATAAACAAAATTGTTCTTCATGAGAGGTCAGTACCTTGAATTTTTGTAGTTCAGTCTTAGAGATTGTGTCCGCCTTGGCTATAATGGGTATTATATTGACTTTGGTATCCAGCTTCTTCATGCACACCAGGTCGATAGACTTGAGACCGTGACCTGGAATAGTAGAAATCATACTGTAGTAATTTGTTTGTGATTTTTGTGAATAATAATGGAATAGTTCACCCGCCTCCGCTAACCGGTTTACGCTGGTGCCCCACCAGTGGAGAATGATAAAATGAACATAAAATCAGATCTTCCATCTTGGCAAATGGCAATTTACCATGATGATGATCTGCATAATTAATGACTAATAGTTTAAAAATAAATATAGTATAAATAAGATCAAAGTCTAGAATTTATTACCATATTAATCTCATAGGCTACGGTAAGCATTTACCATCAGATGAGCCGTATGCTTGATTGCCAACATCATGGAATAAAAAAAAAGCAATTCTAGACTCTGGTCCATCAATTGCTTGTAGCAAGAACGCAGCCATCTTTGTAGCATCTTTAATATATGTAACGTATTCCACTCCGATCGATCAATCGATCCAATTCAAACGGGGATCGAAATTACGACGGCCTGAGCCGAGGTTCGAACCCCTAGCGGTGCCCTCAGACTAAAGTCATATCCGTCAGACGGGAGTTGGCCTTCAGCCGCTCCATAACTCCTTCCTTGGTTTGGAGTGCCATCTGCACTCGCCCCCTATCGTCCGGTGAATCTGTAAGAGCTGAAGCTAACAGCATTAGAGTAGTCCGAATAAAAAATGCTACGTATCGTATTGTGTGTACAATACATTCATACGCAGTTTGTTATTTACTTTCCTCATACGGACAGACGGTAATCACCGCTGTGGAATGTTAAACAGTTATTAAATGTGCTATCAACTTCCTTTTTGTATGTTTGTATATCACTACGCATCTATGAGTCAACTACGTAATACTTATTATACTAATATTATAAACGCGAAAGTTTCTAAGTATGGATGGATAGACGGATGGATGGATGTTTGTTACTCTTTCACGCAAAAACTACTGAACGGAAATTTACAGAAATAATCTTTATTGAAATAAACTTAATACAAGCACTTTTGAATAGTCATATTTTTTTATTCTACCACTCATTCGGAACGCAGACTCATCACAAAAAGAATAAGAAACTTGTGTGTTGCTCTCTTGAATAGATGTTATTTAAAATAAATAATTACACAGTAACAAGAGGCATGCGATAATCAACATAGAAACCGCTACGCACTCTGCAATCAGATAATCAACATAGGTTTTCTCGAGAGACCAGCATGGGGGTTTTCAAGAAGGGTATATTAAGCTACGGGTCACTCATTCCTCCATAGTGCAATCAGAAAATATTGTCAGCGCTATGAATTTCAAGATTTTTCTACTAAAACATAGTTTACAGGGTAGGGTTGACGGTACTAGACCCCGTGGACAATCACCCATGCGACTCACTCCACGAGTGTACCAGAATGGCAGCCAGTAGAGAGAAATGGCGAGATATCGTGCAGTGGATGACACCTGCCTCTCACTCTACTATATAATGACCACGACCGTTCTATCAACAGCGTATTGAATAAGAAAATAGTAATAAAAAATATCTGTTTCTCCATATATCCATTCTCACAAATTTTCGTATTTATAATATTAGTAATTTTTAAGACGTTCGCTTAAATAGGATATTGATAAATTCAACCCCTATGGGGATAAAATAAGGGATGATGCAGGTTGTAAATGTATTAGTTTGAACCTATCAATACCTAAAGGAACGAATAAATTAATACGAACAAAATATTTTTTAGTTCTTTAGGCTACTTTTATTTTAGAAAAATAAAGTTAAATTCCACGCGGACGATGTCGCGGGAGCAGCTAGTATAATATATAATTATGTATGTAATATTAATAACAGGCCATAGTAATCCATAGGGAGCACCGGTAGTAATTAACTCGAGTCAACTATTATAAGTGTTACTAACTCCAAAACCTAGTTACATATGCCGTTATTGGGATCCCTAGAGTGGAACTTTCGCGTGTACGTTGGTATTAGTATGTCGCGCGCGGCCTGAATATGTTATGACCGGTACAGTACGGTGGTGTCAAGGGCGGGTCGTACTGGGTCACTGGAGCACCAGTCATCGTGATGACTGCCAATATGTGGTCAACATTTATACTTAGTAGCTGTCCCGGCAAACGTTTTGCCATATAAATTAATAACGCTGTAAAAAATAAGGGTTGGTGATAGAAGGGTGAAAATTTACGGTTGTATGTATTTTTAATATCCACCTAAAGAAAGAAATTATCAAAAAAATAAAAAAAATGTTTTTGGAGTGAGAGTGAGTCCCTCTTAACACTTTAGGGGTATGAAAACTAGTTATATACCTCTTCTCAGACCTACTGAATATACATATAAAATTTCGTCAAAATAGGTCAAGCCGTTTCTGAGGAGTATAAACACGAAACCTGTGACACGAGAATTTTATGTATTAGATAAAGTGACTGTTTGTTTCTCCTTCTAAACTATTCCACACTTTTTTCATTGTCATTTTGAGATTCTTTTTCAGAAAGTTTATCTAATATAATACATTCTCGCGTCACAGCGTTCGGTGTCATACTTTTCCAAAATGGTTATTTATTTTTTATACCCTTTAGTAGTAAGGGTTGCTCGACAAATTTTTTTTTTTTTAACTTTAAAAAAAATTTTTTATTATGTAGATAAGAATATACAAACTTAAATTTTCATCATATTCAGGGATATTATAATAATAATAGTCTCCGGAAAATTCACACAGCGCCATCTAGACCCTAGTTACTCTAGCTAAAGCTTGTGTTATGGGTACTAGACAACTGATACAAAACATAGACATATATTTTTTGTAAATACATACATATTAAACAATAGAAAACACCCAGACCAATATAAACAACCATACTCATGAACACTAATGTTTGAACCGTGCGAGGAATCTAACCCGCTACCATGAACGTAAAGCGGTGTGCTAAACCGCTACACAACCAAGGTCGTCATATTATTATTCTATTCTATTATATATGTTATTATGCAAATAAATAACTTTCTTACTAAACAAAGTAGTTCAAAGTAGAACAACTCACCTGTAGGGCAAATGAAGTACAGACACACATGCAGGCGACTGTCGTGGTAGCCCCCCAGTGACCTTTTAATTTTCAGCTCCTCCTGCAGGTATGCCTCGAACTGGGCATCAATGTAATCTACCACTGCCTTGAAACTATCCTCCTTATTGACCTGGTCTCCGTAGCCGACTGTGTCGCAGATTGTCAACTGTCAAAATATTTAAAATTTAGATATACTACTGACCACTATGGTGGGAGTCACTATATTCTCTTAAATTGTGGTCTACTTGTGGGAAGTGGTCTGTTCAGGTTGCGAACACTGATTAGATTTTTTGTATTTTTCAATAGCATATGCTGGTGGTCACTCTATTCTCCCAAATTTGAATTTTAATGCCTGTGTATTATTGTAAACATGTACATTTATTTGAAAAGAATACGAGCTGAGTTTCTTGTCAGTTCTTCTCCATAAGATACTGATAGGTTCAAACTAATACATTTACATCCTGCCTTATTTTATCCCCATGGGGGTTGAATTTAACAAAACCCTATTTAAGCGAACGTCTTCATCATAGTAGCTCCAATATTTAATTTCAGTTCAATCAGTCGAAAATCCAAGAAGATTTATACAAACATTCATCACCTATTTTATCCCCTTAGAGGTGGAATTTATCAAAATCCTTTCTTAGGGGATGCCTAAGTCATAGTAGCTTTATGTATGCAAAGTCTTAGCCCGATCGGTTTAAAATTGACAAAGTTTCATACAAACTTTCATCCCCTATTATATCCCCTTGGGGGTAGAATTAATCAATATCCTTTCTTAGCGGGTGCCTACGTCTGCCTGCATGCCAAATTTCAGCCCGATCCGTCCAGTGGTTACATAGCACGTTTTATTCAAAATACTATATCTTGAGGACATATTAGAAACCAAATAATACATGACAATATTTACCTTAAGTCTCACATTGCTCTCCTGTAACTCGTATGTATGAGCCTTTAGCTTCACAGTGGGCAGGTTGTGTGGACTAGGTGCGGACTCAAAGTTGGTGTTGAAAAGAGAGTCCATGAGTGTGGACTTGCCCAACCCTGTTTCACCTATTATTTATAAAAAAAATCATTAAATTAGTATAAAATCGCTGTTTAGTTGTAGGCAGGATGTAAATCTTTAAAACTATGCAACAGATTTTGAAGCTGTTTTTTAATAGAGTGATTCTAGAGGATGTTTTATATATATGATACATATACACCCGTGCGAAGCTAGGGCGAGTAGCTAGTATAAAATAAAGTTGCTGTCTCTGTCCCTATGTATGCTTAAATCTTTAAAACTATGCAACGGATTTTGAAGCTGTTTTTTTAATAGATAGATTGATTCTAGAGGAAGTTTTATATATATGATATATCTACACCCGTGTAAAGCCAGGACGAGCTAGTTGTAAATATTTCAAAGTTCAAAATCATTATAAATACATAAACAAAATTACTGGAAGGCGATTGTTAGTAATGGACTAATGAAACAATTGCTAAAAATGTACTATGTCAGGTTGACTTCTACATTTGCCATAATGGGCTAACTGACCTGACCTTATTAACAAGTGGTTAAATTAAGTTTATTTGAATAAAGGATTTTCTATTCTATTAATTTTATTCATGCTCAGCTTATCCTCCACTGGTGCCTATCCAATGTAAACCGTTAACACAAGCAAGTGCACCAAGTCATTATTGTCAATTTAAAAAGACTAAATAACTTGACTTCATGCACATCCTGTCATCCTCCACAGGTATCCCATCAGTACAAACCACTGGTACAGGTGGATACATACAGTTTTATATATATCCATAAAGTAAAAGGATCTACAAGATATGTACTAGAATCAGACACTACCTCTATCAGGATTAATTCTACTAGTAGCTATGTTCCTGTTATAAATGTGAGATATAACAGTGAATTTACAATCAGTCCCCAGTAATGGCAACAAATGAGAGAGATTGTTTGCCTTACAATAGTAGTAATATATAAGCATTTTAGAATAGTATTTTTTTAATTCTATTATGAATTTGGGAACCAGAATCATCCTCATGATGATGGAATGGAGAACTTGTCTGTTGCTCTTTTAAATAAATGTATATCAATAGAAACAGAAATAATCTTTATTTAAATAAACTTATTATAAGCACTTTAGAATTGTCACTTTTTTTATTCTACCATTCATTTCGAACAAAGAATGAGCAAGAAACTTATGTGTTTGATAAATAAATTTTGTTTTATGTAGATTTACATCAACTATGACTAGGCATGCTACAATCAACATAGAAACCGCTACACTCTCCATCTTTTACAATCAGATTGCATTGTCAGCGCTATGAATTTTAAGTTAGATAATTTCTATAAAAACATTACTTATTATCATTTACAAATTCTTCAATTTTATAATAAGCTTTTTTACAAGAAAATATTTTATAAGACATTTTAATCAATTTATTTTATGTCACTTCCATTCCAGATATTTTTTATATTGTGGACTAACGACTTCTTTGGGATTCTAGTTACATCTACAAAAACTTATTTTCAATATTGTGGAAAAGGTCAATATAATATTATTTTAGTATTGGTAGTTATTTATCAACTGTATATATATTGATACACAAACACCTATGACTCAGAATTATCAATCACTTTGTATGGCTCTGAGTAATACACAATACTGAAGAATGTAGCAATACTCTTTATTACACCCACTAAATCCAAAAGATGTTGAAACATTAATGAAGGTGAAGATAAGGCGCACCTACGGTACGTGGGTGATTAACTTATTAACTAGTAATTGCAAAAACTTACCAATGCACAGGATGTTAAACACGAATCCATTTTGAACACTTTTGTTCACCAACTGATCAGGCAAGCTGTCGAATCCGACATGCCCTGACAGTTTAAGGGTACGTAATGCGGGCTCCATCTGCGAAAACCCTCTCATTAGCAAGGCACGGCGAGTAACTAAATTAAAATGAGAACGCACGCATAGGCATACCTACAATACACAAGTCTACATTTCAGACACGCAAGAAAATAGGTATTTCAAACAGTTTATTGTTTGTGTTTGTGGTCATCGTCCAAGGAATGTTTTTAAATAATCCACTCACATTTTGTTTATAAGATTGTCACTTTCTCGAGATAAATTTTGTTACTTCGCTGAGCAACGCCCAGTAGTAATTTGTTAAATATAAAAAAAATACAGAAATAGGGCAGTAATTTTGAAACGTATGTAATAATAAAATATAATGTCTAAGTGCAAATGACGTAATCAGGTCGCAAGAGATGTTAAATTATAATAATAAACTTACTTTTGGTGGTTGGACATCTATAGCCGCCATGATTATTGTTTGACTAAATGATTATAATGAAGTTGACGCGAGTGTCTTGCGTTTTGTTGATGAATTACGACCCCGAATGTCATTACTGTCATATTGACAGATAGTATCTACTACAACTTCACAGCACAATGCAAGTAACCAACTAATACAAATTTTAAGTAAAAATATTATTTAAGTAAATATTAGTATGAATTTATTACAAAAAATGGTGTATAAAAATGAAAATTTGCACAATATTTTTTTATTTTATTTTAAAATTGACAGTAATTCATGAGAAAAGTATATTTTTTTAAAGTTGGCTAACCTAGACAAAGCTGCGTTGTTACCATGACAAAAAAATGTCCAATATATCTGGTACAGTGAGAATGTTTTAAAATTATACATTATAATTTATTACAAATGACCAAAGACCATAAGTTTCACATCAAATAGCAATGACCGATGTATGAAACATTAATTATTTTATATAAAGAAATATATTTACAAACATAAAGCGGAAAAAATGTCAAACAGAAAATTATTTTTTAATTTGTTTTTCTTCTTGAACAAAACTAATCAATTACAGTATATATATAAATTTTATTTTAATATAAACTTACATGACAGTAGGGGGTTGTATATGAGGTGTTAAAGTTTATACTACAAGTAAAAAAGCGTGTATTTGCCATTGTTTCCAGAACACTAATCTGAAATTGGGTACATGATAAAAGTCCATATCGTACGCTTATATTAAATTACTTTAAATAATTACTCCAGTTTATTATACACAGAACAATAATTATTGTTAATGATAATATCTAATCAATTTCACAGAAAAAATAATTAGTCAAAAATCACTCCAATACAAGTAACTTCATTTTTAATGACACAATAGATGATTGTCGGAATAAAATACACACACATTGGATTACCCTTACTTCAAAATACAGTCCTAAAGATTGATCGGGTAATTTGTCTATATGCAAAACTGGCAACACTGACAAATTCCAAAATGGCAGAATGCGAGTTCGCTGTGTTATCATGTGAGCCGATGAAATAATGTTTTCTTGATATTATTTGTCGCGAGTGGATTATATATTTGTGATTTAGTGATTTGTGACATAATAAACCATGGCGGACATAAAATCGCCGCCGTACAGTGACATCAAGAGACCTGAGGAGGTGGTCAGGATGACGACGAATGATAGCCTGAAATTTGCAGTTCTTATCGGGCTGATTGAAGTGGGAGAAGTGACCAATCGGGAGGTGGTTAACACGGTTCTACACCTGGTGAGTCCTTCCATTTATTACTGTCCCAAAGAGCCGTCCAGGCGAATTACACGAAGTCCTATTAGATTCATCTTGGAAAGGTTATTGGAATAGACTTTTCGAAGAATGTTTCTTTCATATATTCATATTATAATAAGCTAAATTCTTACACAAGCATAATAATCTTATTAGCGTATAATGGACCGATTAAGGGAATACTTACGTGGTTGTAAAGTGGTGTTTTATCGGAGAGTCGCATCTATTTTTATTGTTTTTATCGATCGTGTTTAGTTGTGAATGGCAAATCGCGCGGTCATCAAGACTTCGACGGCTCGCAGCCGGCAAACGTGCACTGTTTGTTTTGGTTTATTGCTGCCGGTGTCACGAGTTTCGCTTGTTAGAAATCTCGCTGATTTTATCAGCTAGTTTTTCGCTGTTCGCAAAGTTTGTCAACAAATTAAATAAAAAATATAGGTTACTTGAGCGTGAATAGGTGATGACGTCGAGTTACCTTGAATGACACTTTTATGTTGCAATAGACACGTTACGTTCGATGAGCTAATATATTTTATTTCAGATAAGTGGATTGTATTTATTACCTCTTAAGTGTCGAGTATTACCTAGATACGTAACACACCTATTGTGGTATTTATTACTCAGGTTTTAGCTATCGTAATGTCTAAAATGATTACCAAGCTACGTACACGTATAGCTAATGGTTTAATTAATAAAACATGTTATACAAATTACTTATTATTCATAAACAGTGACTATCAAAGTCGTTTGTAGCGTCCTGCAGTGTATATACCTAAGGTTTTGCATGGAAAACTACGGAAGAGAAAATTGCTTGATACTCCTAGGATCCCATACAGTCCTAGTAGAAGTCAGATCAGTAAATAGTTAGAATTTAATCACGATGATTTCCAAGCGGGTACTCGTTTAGTCCCCATTACTAGCAATCCCTCCCTCTCCTGTTTATAATAATATATTACGATATAAGTGCGTTATAATTGTTATAACACACTAGGCGGAATTTCAGCCCTTACGCAAGGTTAGGACGCAATAGAGCCGAGTGTGTTAACTACGCAAATAAATTTACGACGTTCTTCATATTAAATAAAATTAACCATAAAACTGTGCTTCACATTATTGATTTCCCGCCGATTTTTTTTTAAATCAGCGTGCTGCCTACTGTCTTGCGTGCGTTCACTTCGTTTGATTAATAAAATGTAGCAAATAGTGCGCTTATGGAATATGTAACTTCACTATTTGCGTTTATAACACACGCGTGTTTTATGAATTGCTGTATATATATCTAATATATACATATACATATCTAAAACCGGTGAAATTAGATCCACTTTACGAGCAAGTGTGTTTTTTTTTTTATGTGATAATGAAATGGTGCACCCGCCTGCGCTAACGGTTTACTGGCGGGGCACCAGTGGAGGGTGATAATATGAGCATGAGGTCAGGTCAGTTAGCCCATCGTGACAAATTCACATGTATTTTATCACGATGGTTTCCAGGGGGAACCGCGTGGAGGTCAACCTGACATGGTACATTGCTAGCAATGGGGTTATCAATCCACATTACTAACAATCCCCTTCCCCCGAGCAAGTGTGTTGAAAATATTGTATTATACATACTTAGAAGTGAAACTCGTGCCCTTCATAGGTGCTTATCGCGCGGCGGGGCAGCGTTGATCTAAGATTTCTTTAGTGATTTCTAATGTCTCTATAGTACGAACAGTGTATAAAGTCGATTCTATGTGTTGGGCTTCATCTTTCAATAAAATTGTTGTCTTAACGTAATATAAACAAGGTTTAATTCAATGCTCGAATTTAGACGGCCTCGGTGGTCTAGCGGTTTAGCACACTGCTTGACTGCCAATTGTCACAGGTTTGATTCCTCGCATGGTTTTTACTGAATGACAATGAAATGCTGCACCCGCCTGCGCTGACGGTATACGCTTGCGGGGCACCAGTGGAGAATGATAAGATGAACATGAGGTCAGGTTAGTTAGCCCATCGTGAGAAATTCATCAAGAAATTTACGACGATGGTTTCCAGGGGGAATTGCGTGGAGGTCAACCTGACATGGGACATTGCTAGCAGTGAGTTCATTAGTCCACATTACTAACAACCCCATTTCCCCCCTCCTTGCATGTTTTTTTTTCTATGGATGATAATGGAATGGTGCACCCGCCTGCGCTGACGGTTTACGCTGGCGGGGCACCAGTGGAGGATGATAAGATGAACATGAAGTCAGATCAGTTAGCCCAACGTGACAAATTCACCGGGAATGTATCACGATGGTTTCCAGGGGGAACCGCGTGGAGGTCAACCTGACATGGTACATTGCTAGCATTGGGATCATTAGTCCACATTACTAACAATCCCATTTCCCCCCTCCTCGCATGGTACAAGCGTTTGTACACATGAGTATGATTGTTTCTATCGGTCTGGGTGTTTATTACTCTGCTTAGCTTGGGACTAGATAGCGCTGTGTGAATTATCCAAGAATATTATTATATTATAAAAAAATGCGTCGATATATATTCTACTAGCTGTACACGCGACTTAGTCCGCGTGGGATGCAACTTTATTTTTCTAAAATAAAAGTAGACTAAGTTACTCCTTATTACATCAGCTGTCTTTAAGCTATATAACATTACGCTACGACCAATAGGAGCGGAGCTGCAATGAAAAATATTGCAGAAGGTGGATTCAAATTAAACGCAGATGGAATGTAAGATACCAATACAAAGAGATCGCGAAAACTACACCAAGTCGCTGTGTTCCTAGTAACCTAAGTCATTCTATTATGGGAAGGGACTTCACAGAGCCCAACAATGTCAGATCACAAGATTAGATACCATTAATTTCAATCTCTACCGGCTTTATTTAGTTTCATAACTTGTCTCATACACGCTCGTTCTGGAGACTGCTTCACTTGACAGATAGCACTATCTGTCTAATCTTAATAGGTGTATCCCGTACCTTTTTCACGAAATTTTAGCTCATTTGATCAGAATCTCATCTGATAATTAGCGAAAACGCTCCGTAGAATAAATGTAGGCAGGCTGTACAATTAAATATATTGTTTATGTTTTTTTTTATTCTCTTTTATTTGTTTCACCGTTTTTTTTTAATGTATATATTTTGATTTATTTTAAATCTTAGGCTCCCGCTGCGATTTGATACAGGGGATTTTGTTTATGTTTAATATTATTACTGGCAAAGGTCTAGTGTTTCCCAACATGAGGTCCTTGCTCTACAAGGGTATCAATTTGATCGTTAAGTGGGGGTAATTAGAAAATGGACTTTTTATTTATATTACAAGGAATGTGAATATCAAATTGTCATTACATATTTTGATAATATCAATTTCCTCGTGATTTCTTCCTATGACCTACTATTTAAGTTTCTTTAATTTATAAATTACTAACTGTGCCAGCGGTGACGCTGGCATGAAATTTTGTATGTGTATGTTTAAGCTATATCACGAAGTACACATAAAGTTTAAATGAAATCCGTTCAGTAGTTTCTGCATGAAAGAGTAACAAACATCCATGCATACTCACAAACTTTCTCATAATATTATTAAATAAGATATATGTTACTATGTATGGGTATGAGGGGTCATGGTAGTAAAAAGGTTGGGAAACACTGGTCTAGATTATCCTACGAAAGGACCTTAAAAGCAGAAAAACAGTTGATGGTAGCTAAAAACACATCCGAGCGTTTACTTTAAAATATTTGCACGTTTTGGGTTATCGAGAAATTGGGACCTTTATTTTCCTTTGTTTTCCACCCTCGGTTTATAAGTACTTAAGGGTTAGAAAGGGGACGGAGAGATCGGCTTTTCTGTTTGATAACACTTGTCATTTACATTTATTCAATTTAGTAAAGGTGTTGTCCAAAACACGGGTAAGTGTATCATGTTAACTGCTAGGCACATATATTGTGCAAATAAAAACTATTTCAATGGCACAGGGTGGTTACAAAAATAATAAAAAACTGTTTATAATACATGATGATGTGTAAAATGCACGTAAAATTACTGTTGAATAAAGACGCTTCTTTTTTGGTTTTGGATCAAAATACAAATATTTTCGGCTATTTATTGCATTGGTATGAAACATTATGATATCGCAATTATCACATTATTATAGTAAGTATTTATGTCCTGCTAGTGCCAAGGCGTCAGGTGGCAACGGGCCGTAAAACACAATGCCAAAATCTTTCCTCCCTGTACGTGATGAAGCACAAAGATACAGAGTTTCTGGCGCAAATGTACAGGGAAATTATATTCGCATGTTCCCAAGTTATCCCATATAACCTGGGAACATGGGTTCAGTGATCTTGCTAGTATACTTGCATGAGCTGTAGGATACACAGATTAACCAAGGTAGACTGGGGGGAAAGGAGATTGTTAGTAATGTACCATGTCAGTATGACCTCCACGCGGTTCCCCCTGGAAACCATCGTGATAAATTCCTGGGATAAGTTCGTGGTGAGGTTGTCACGATGGGCTAACTAACCTGACCTCATGTTCATCTTATCATCCTCCACTGGTGCCCCGCCAGCGTAAACCGTTAGCGCAGGCGGGTGCACCATTCCATTAACATCCATAAAAAAAACCAAGGTAGACTGGGGGAAAGAGGATTGTGAGTAATATGGATTGATGATCTTAGTGCTAGTAATGTACCATGTCAGGTTGACCTCCACGCGTTCCTCCTGGAAACCATTGTGATTAATTCCTAGTGAATTTGACACGGTGGGCTAACTGGCCTGACCTCATATTCACCTTATCATCCCCCACTGGTGCCCCGCCAGCGTAAACCGTTAGCGCAGGCCGGTGCACCATTTCATTATCATCCACAAAAAGGTAGACATAGTACGACGAAGTCTTCTTTGTAGTTAATTCTCTCTCTCACCTATTTCTGCCACACTATATAAGTTTGGAGGGTGATGTAAGCTCCAGTATGATCGCATGAGCTTTAAGATACACGGATA